AATACAGTTTGCCTTATTAGGCAAAGTGCTGAGGTCCCAGAAAACATCAGTGTATATATATTCATGGATTCCAAAGAAATAACCCTGAGGACTAGCTGTGAACAGACATGGGCTTTTATTAGCATTCTTGTATGCATCAGTGCCTGCAGACCAGTGAAGTTTACCACCCGCACAGACTACCACCGGTGAAGTTGTTCTGCTTAGTCCCATCTGGCCTGCAAACTGGCCACACCAGGGGCAGCTGGCCAGTGCTATTGTTTTGGTGCTACCCAGACTTTCCCAGCACAAGATTTTACAGAGTACAGAAAACAAGACATGCGGGGGGAGGGCAACAAGCTCCTGCCCAAGCTGTGTGAGATCAGAACACTAGCTGTTTGCAATCCAGACTGACATCTAGAAGCACTTTCTTTTTTGGCCTTTCTTAGACCGAGTTGCTGGCTAGGTTCTCAAGGTTTCACAGTCCTCTTCCAAATGGCCTTCCCTATTATTCCCACAGAATGAGAGGGGAAGTTGGAGCATGGGAAAGGGGCCATGTTCCTATTTACCATACACTTATACAGCTTCATGAATTCGTAGAATACTGCATTTCAATTAACTGACCATTTATAACATGGATTTACAGAATATTAGAGCTGAAAGGACCTTAGAAATTGATTTCAATCCTCTGATTATACATACTAGGTAACTGACAGTTCACATTTTAACATGTATGTCATTATATTTGTTATACATGTTGTTAGACCATGTTATTAGATGGAACAATTTATATACATTAATATACCTTTTTTAAAGTCATAATTTAAATGGACGTGTCTAGCTTTTTATTATCATGCAGTTTGGTATTCATTTCGGAAACACTATGAGAGAGTACCCCCATAATATATTCTAGAGAATCAATGCTAGCCTATGCAATCTTGGTTGGTTCTATCCCTGAGTTTATAATTTTACAATGATACTCTTAGACTACTAGGTAGAAAATTACCTTTTGTAAGTATTAGGATTCATTGATCTTTGTATACTTCCACTTGAAATTAAGAAAGTAGGGCTTGATTATATACTGCGTACCTTATAGTAAGGCAAGAGATTCTGTTAATGGGGAAATTAAGTCAATGATGGTATAGCTACCAATGTGATATTCAATACCACATTCAAGTGGTATTGAATGCAGGAGATTAGTGTTAAGTATTTATCAGGTTTGATAGAGAAAAAAGGCCCTAGGAATTTGGAGGTACTTTATAGGACTAGATACATTTAAATCTTAGACATAGGTATTTAAGCGATCTAAGGAATTCTAGAATGTCACATTAATGCTTAGAGTTCTTGGGAAAAGTTTGTAAATCACAAATATACTGTATTTAGAATTGGAAGTTAATTGATTTGGAGTTTTATTCTGGGATAGCTCTACTCTAATTGACTGATCTTACACAACACAACCTCCAAGATCCCCATAACCATATTATGGGGTAACCATAATTCTCAGTTTGTGCTTTTTGCCTCATCAAAATTCATAGCATCCCTTTTACTCTTAAAAGTTTCCTGATTTAGATGATAAGTGATGTGGTTATGTCTGCCTTTGGGTACTTACTATGATGAAGGCTTATGAAATTTCTTTCTATACTTTGTTTTATTTCTGTGAGCTGGGAGATTTCCATTTAGTGTAGTTAGGAAGGCATTAATAAAGATAGCCTAGGCCTAGCCAGTGTGGCTCAGTGGGTGAGCATCGACCCATGCATCGAGAGTTCGCCGGTTCGATTCCTGGTCAGGGACATGCCCAGGTTGTGGGCTTGATCCCCAGTGGGGGGCATGCAGGAGGTGGCCAGTCGATGTTTTCTCTCATCGTTGTTTCTATCTCTCTCTCCCTGTCCCCTCCTCTCTCTCTAAAAATTAATAAAGAAAAAAAAAAAGTCTAGTGGAAGTCTGGTTTAAGATAGTTTCTCAGCTAGAAAAGATCCCTTTGTTTTCTGTGCTTGGGTCAGAAATACAAGATAGGTGGATGTAACCTGTCTTGTCTGGGCAAAACGGAATTCTCATTGCTTAAAGGTAGTTTTGCATTTATGTATCATTAAAACATTTTTATCTGCATTTAGATACCACTGAATCTTAAGGGCAAATAAATCTCACTACATGGTTGTATTTTTTCCCGTTAGTATATTTAATTTTTTAATAGACTCTATTTTTTAGAGCAGTTTTAGAGCAGAAAGTACAGAGTTCCCATATTTCCCCTGTGCCCACCCACACATGCAGCCTTCTCCACTAATACCATCCCTACAAGAGTGATTCGTTTGTTACAATGATAAACTTTCATTGATACATCATTGTCACCATAGTTTACATTAGAATTCATTCTTGGTGTTATATATTCATTTTATGGGTTTTGACAAGTGTATAATGCCATGTATCTACCATTATAGTATCATACAGGGTAGTTTAACTGCCCTGAAAATCCTGTGTTCTATCTATTCATCCCTTCCCCTCCCCATTAGCTCCTTGGCAACCACTGATCTTTTTACTGTCTCCATAGTTTGACTTTTTCCAGAATATCATATAGTTGGAATCATATGGTATGTGTCCTTTTCAAATTGTTTTTTTTTTTTTTTTTCACTTAGTAATACACATTTAAGTTTTCTCCATGTCTTTTTATGGCTTAATAACTTATTTCTTTTCATCACTTTCATTATCTTAAAGTCTATTTAATTTTAAGAAAGTGTTCTTGAGAGTGTTTCTAGATAGCCTTACTAAATTCCACAAGTATGATCTTAATTCTTTTAGCAGCAGATTATGGATTAAATTACCAGTTAAGGGTGCAGGCTGGTAAAGGAGTTGGAGTAGTGGGATGAAACTGCTTGTTTAAGAATGATTTGCCTGGTGGCTGCCTTTATTTTTTTTCTCCCTCATTTAAATGTAGAACTTTCTTCATGTTATTGCCCATTTGGGGGAATGCATATGAAATTCCTGGAATGAACCATAATTATATAAATTGTTGAGAATTTGGGGAGAAATACAGATCTCCATGAACTGTATTTAATACAAAATATTTCTTGAACTCATTTGTTTAATCTTATCATATAAATAATTTTGCCACCGTTGTGACTTGAAGTAGTGGGAGTTTGCAATTTCAACATACTGTCAATATGGTCCATAGGTAAAGAATAAGACTCGATATAGTTCTGTTGAGTATCATCGATTATTTATTTATTTATTTATTTATTTTAATCCTCACTCAAGGATATTCTTCTTTTTATCTTCAGATAGAGTGGGAGGGAGGGAAGGAAGAAGGGGGGGAGAGAGAGAGAGAGAGAGAGAGAGAAACATTGATGTGAGAGGGACACATTGACTGGCTGCTTCCTGCATGACCTTGACCAGGGCTGGGGACGAACCGCAACCAAGGTATGGCCCCTTGACCTGAATCAAACTCTCTACTCATTGGTCCGTGGACCGATGCTCTAACCACTGAGAAAATCGGCCAGGGCAAGTATCCTTAATTTTTTAAATTTAGAGGCCACTAGAGTTGTGGGGAGGAAGTTTTCCATTCCATGTCATCACCGAAGTGGAAAAATCTCTTGGTCGCTTGCCTGTGTGCTGCTATCCTTATTTTTCAAAAAACTGTATGTAATTAATTTTTACAGAAATACTGATGTGGACCAGAAAGGTAGGGAAAAGAACATAAATATAGTAGTATTCATGAACTTTTATCACAATCTAAAATAGGAGCTACAGTCCAGCCAGTGTGGCACAGTGGTTTAGCGTTGACCCATGCACGAAGAGGTCACCAGTCCGATTCCTGGTCAGGGTGCAAGCCCAGGCTGTGGGCCCAACCCCCAGTGGGGGCATGCAGGAGGCAGCCAATTGATGTTCTCTTTCATCAGTGTTTCTATCTCTCTCTCCCCCCTCCTCTCTTTCTCAAATCAATAAAGGAAAAATATTAAAAAATAAAAATTAAAATAAAATAAGAGCAACTTACTATTCCTGTGGATGTTATTTTTTATTTTTATTTTTATTTTTTTATAATCCTCATCCGAGGACATTTTTCCATTTTTTGTACAGACAGTGTGGGAGGGAGAGAGAGGAAGAGAGAGAGAGGGAAACATCGATGTGAAAGGGACACATCGAGTGGCTGCCACCCGCACGACCAACCAGGGCCGGGGACAAACTGCAACCGAGATACATGCCCTTAGCGGGAACCGAACCCGGGTCTCTCCGGACCGCAGGCAGACGCTCTAACCGCTGAGCCAAACCGGCCAGGGCTATTTTTTATTTTTTATCTAGAATCACTTGGTCTGTGGCTTTATTTCTTTTTAGTTCTCTACTGTTGAGTGTGGGTAAGAGTGGTTTAGCTTGGATGTTTAGGCTAAAATTCCATAAATGTGTTTTTTAAAAGTTGAGAAAATTTTATTGGGATTAAGTATTAGATTTTTCCCCAAGAAAAACTATCAGAAAGGGAAACTAAAAAAAAATCTCATTCAGAATTGCTTCAAAAATAATAAAATACCTAGGAATAAATTTAACCAAGGAAGTAAAAAGCCTGCACTTGAAAAATTATAAGACACTGAAGAAAGAAATTGAGAAAGATAAAAATAAGTGGAAGCATATACTGTGTCCATGGATAAGAAGAATTAATATTAAAATGTCCATACTACCCAAAGCAATCTGCAGATTCAATGCAATTTCTATTGAGATACCAGTAGTGTATTTCACAGAACTAGAGCAGTTGTTTCAAAAGTTTGTATGGAGTCACAAAAGGCCCCGAATAGCAGCAGCGATCTTGAGAAATAAGAACAAAGTTGGAGGAATCACCCTACCTGATGTCAAATTATACAACAAGGCCATAGTAATCAAAACATCGTGGTGCTGGCATAAAAGCAGACTTATAGATCAGTGGAACAGAATAAAGAGCCCAGAAATAAATCTGTGTCTTTATAGTCAATTAAGATTTGACAGAGGAGCCCTCGCCGGTTTGGCCTCAGTGGTTGGAGCGATGGCCTGCGGACCAGAGAGTTTGTGGTTTGGTTCTCGCTAGGGGCACATACTAAAAAACAAAAAACAAAAAAAAGATTTGACAGAGGAGGCAAAAACATACAATAGAGTAAAGATAGTCTATTCAATAAATAATGTTGGTAAAATTGAACAGATATATGTGCAAAAAAAACGAAACTAGACTACCTTACACCGCACACAAGAATAAACTCAAAATGGATTAAAGATGTAACTGTCAGACTCAAAACAATAAAAATCCTAGAAGAAAACATAGTAAAATCTCAAAATTTCAGACATTTCTCATAGCAGTTGTTTTCTGATATATCGCTTCAGGCAAGGGAAACAAAAGAATAAATGCGATTGCATCCTATTTTGTTCGTTGTTGTTTTTTATACATTTATGTTAAGAAGTGGCCATTATTAATTGTATTTAATTATTTTTCTGGCTCATGCCTTACAAAGTTGAGCTCTCTTTAGGAGCGACATTTATTTTTGTTATCCCTGTGCACAGTCCTTAGTAAATAGGCCCTCAATAAATGGTGAATTGAAAGCGTAGTCTTAATTTGTAGATTGATAAGTTGAACAAATACAAGATAAAAGTCATAATTATGTGAGTTAAATTATTTTAGCTGCCATTTTGCCACGTTTCTTCTTTTGATTGTGAACACAGACTCAGCTGCTAGGAGAGTCTATGTGGTTTTGGAAACATCTGTGTGGCTCCTGTGCCCTTATTTTTCTTCTGTTTGAAAAAGCTGAAAAAGTTAACAATTTCACACCAAGACATTAATTGTTCAAGTGTGGTCTGTGAACCAGCAACACCAGCATCACCTGAGAACTTGTTAGAAATGCACATTTCTAGGCCCTACTTCAGACTGGTTAATCAGAATCTCTTGGGATAGGACCCAGCAGTCTTTTTTAACAGAGGATTCTGATGCATGATAAAGTTTTAAGAAGCACTACTCTAGGATTCTGCCATCTAAGGAAAATTTTGCCTTTAATATATAATAACAGCTTTTAGTGTGGTTTCAACTATAAGCTATTTATGTTTTGGAAATAATTCATCAGCTGGGATGACCCGGACTATATTGCCTAACATCCCAGGTTGAATTTCCCTATGTGCAGAATATCTGACTCTTGTGGTTTCTGGGAATGGCTGTTTAAAAGAAGGTGGGGAGGGGGCTTCCTACCTCTTTCAGTTAAAATATCTTCTAGATTATATCCCAACTGTCAGTTTGAACGGATTTGTGTTAATTGTCATTCTTATGGGATTGTATGAGGATGAAAGAATGAGCTGAGTTGTATTTACATCCCAATTGTTGTTATGTTGTCAGGGACGGAAAGTGAGTTTGTATTATCAAAAGTTATGCTGAATCTATAGACAAGTGAATTTCACAGAAAAAGTAATTAGTGGAGATTAGCTTTTGATTAGTAATTACCCATGGCTCTGAGAATGGTTTATTTAACTGGAGTATTGAACCATTCTAGCACATTGTTTTCATTTTGCCTTTAGTAAATCCTAACTGGAGGGTCAACTGAGGCATACTCTTAACATGCTCTGTAACTGTTCCCCTCCCCACAATTGTTTCTGGCTTCAGAATTCTATTTGGGTGTAGTTCTAGATTGGCCCATAGCTATTTTGACAGTCTCTTGGGACAAATGAGCTTTTATGATTATTTGCTTAAATATGTAAGGGTTTCACTGTTTGAAACCAAACCTTTTATTAAGAATGCTCTTTGAGATACAGCTGATTTTGTATGCTTTTGTCTGTTTCCTTTGGATGAGACATACTTAGTTTTTAATGGCTAGCAAAACTAGCTTTTGTCCTTTGATGATTGTTTGTGGAGTTAGGAAGTAGATTTTCTAAAGTTTCCTATAAATACTAGCTTGACAGCAGTTTGTGGCTACTGCTTTTTCCTCCTTGGATGCATCCTAAGTGTTTAAAAACTACGATTATGGTCAGTTTGATGTCACAGTCAAAATGGGACCTAATCTTTTATATTTAACCTCACTTTCTTTCAAGGTTAAATTTAAATGTCTCTTTCCTCCTGGGGTAAGGAAGAAATATTTAGTCTCAAGGAGTATCTTTGATAATGAAGCTCTTTGCCTCAGGATTATAAGAGGGTAGACTAAATGGCTAGAATTTTCTGATAAATAACATATAAGCAGAGCCCAATATGCTGGGTCATAGACAAATGTTGTTGAGCTCTTGGAACATGTTAGATATGCATGAAGAGAAATGTAAGAGGGGGGTCATTTCTGAGCTGATTTTTCTCTTTGTTATTAAAAATTTCCAATCCCTTCTATTTCTTAGATCTGGTGTCAAATTCTAATTTTTACTTTTATAAAACTTTTAAAACTAGAATTTAGTCTGATTTTTAAAATTATTGCTGGCAACCTTACCTTATTTAGTGTCATTTTCTATTTCAAACATGTTGAAATTCTTTGGGTTAGTGGTTGTCAATGCATTTTTCTTTTGAAAAAGTGAAAAATTCATGCCCTGGCCGGTTTGGCTCAGCGGTTGGAGCGTCGGCCTGCGGTACAGAGAAAAAGTGAAAAATTCAGAAAAAGCACAGTTAGACAACTCCTCTCCCCCATGGGTGAGCCTCTGAGCCCTGTTCCCCCTCCCTACCCTACACTTTCTCCCGCACTGCTTTTGAGGTACCTCAACAGAACACCCAGAATTGGTTTAGGTCATCCTTTAAATCCTAGAGTAGAATGCTTGCATAAAAGGCCATCTTATATTATTAACATTTATAGCTGTACAGGTTACAAAGTAATTTTATATACTTTTTTTGTGTATGTTGTGAACCTCCCTGTCACCTTATGAAGAAGGTAGGAATTATCACAATTGTTTAGATGAGACAGTTGAAGAAGTTGAAGAATCTAACCCAGATGTTGTAACTGTGGCTCATTTCCCTGTAAGGTCCTTCAGCTTAATAGAAAGCCTTACTTTTGAGACTCATGGTGTGCCTCTTGGGCATCTGGGACACCCCTGTATTTATATGCAAAATTTTTTGTGTATTTTCTGGGATGAAACAAGCCCATGGCTTTTTGTCAAATTTACAACTTAAAATTTTTTTTAAAAAATTAATTTTAGAGAGAGAAACATCAATTGGTTGCCTCCTGCATGCTCCCTGACCCAGGATGGAACCTGAAACGTGAGTATGTGCCCTGATTGAACTTGTTACCTTTTTGTTAAGGTACTGTGCTCCAACCAACTGAAGCACACCAGCCAGGCCTACAACTTTGTTATTTGTCATGGACATTTAGACCAATGGTCATGCCTGGTTAGCCTGTTAGTAGGAATTGACAACAGGACTAAATGAAAATCTTTGTGGAAGATCAGCCATAGCAAATATTTATTTCTTTTACCTGTGCTAAAATAATTTAACATTTTCACAGTGCTTTACAGTTTATAGAACTCTTTCACATATATGACTTTTATACCCTGTGAACCTAGGTAGCATCATTCCCATTTGAAGAAACTACTCAAAATAAAGAAAATTTAAGTTGTGGAGGTACTGACTCAAAAGTCGACATTTTTTCTTAGACTGACATTAAACTAATCTGACATGATCCAAAATCTTGTAACTACTATCTTACCTTACATTTTGTGAATTTATAGTTTGGCCGGCCTAATATCCAGTATCTTCTCATGTATCATTGCTCAGCAGCTTGATTTGTAATTGGTAGGCTTATTCTTTACTTTTTTTGAAGGTGAATCTTGTACTGCCTCTTTTTATTCTCATTACTCATAGGTTTTTCACCTTGTTCATAATATCTCAGATTTAATGATTTATAACTGTAATAACATTTATTAATTCTGTGAGTGGAGCAGTCCTGAAGGCTAGTGCACATCACCTGTTAAGCATTATTTCTTTGGAGAATAATAGTGATGCTAACATTATTGAGTGCTTACCATGTGCCAGGCACTGTTTTAAGCTGTGTTATTTAGTATAAGTCTCACAATAACCCTATGAGGATGCTACTATTAATGCTTCTGTTCTACAGGTTAGATCACTTGCCTAAAACCATAAAATTAGAGACAGAGCCTCCAAGCAGTCTTATTTTGGAGTTTGCTGCTTTTAATCACTAAAGTACAAAGTCTCTTTGGAAGTAGATTTTCCTATTTCTCCAAAGCAAAAGGCTAGCTAAAGTATGCCAAGCAGATTCCTTTAGCTATTTGCATGGCATAATTTCAGAATAAAGGATGGGCTCTGGTTTAGAAGCTAGTGATGGGGGACAATTTTACTTTCCAAGCCTTTGTTATGTCTGCCTGTAAGAGGTAGCCATGAAAGGGAAAGGTTTGAATTTGGAAAATTCTTTGTAATAGCTGTCATCTCTATCTATAGATTGGAGTAATCCATGAGATCAGACCTATATACCTTCTTCCTGCTGCAGAGAATGAGGTTACCCCATTTCCATCCACTCCCAGAGCCTCAGGCTTGTCTTACCCTTGGTGGGTATACACAGAATGAGTGCATATGGATTTATGAGCTGCCTCTGATGTTAAGGAACAATGATAAGTGATTTTGCTTCTTAAATAAACAGTAAGGGTAGGCAGGCTGTACAGTAGCTTGTGTATATAGCCTCTTAGCAGTTAAAGACAGATTTGAAATACTGTGCCTATAACCACAGTATTAGTTTGTCTTGCTCGGTCTTCTTTTTGAGGTACATTTTGTGTGTGTGTGTGTGTGTGTGTGTGTGTGTGTGTGTGTGTGTGTGAGAGAGAGAGAGAGAGAGAGAGAGAGAGAGAGAGAGAGAGAAAAAAGAGAAGGTCTTGTGTCCTTGGCTGTCATTTCCTTTTTATTGTGAGGCATGAAGGAGAGAGCCGCATGAGCCACCCACAGGAAATTAGTAATAGAGAGAGGTTTGAAAAGAACAGCTGTTTAAAAAAAAGTTCAAGGTGATAAAAACAGGTTAGATTTAAAGGCCTAAATCTGGCAGTAGTCAGCTGAGAGCAGGGAGAGAAGTTATCTGCCCTGGAGGAAAATGAGAATTTCAGCTGTAAAAAAATCACTGATAGCTTCTCTTCTGTGGAATAAGGCTAGCTTTTTTGCTTCGTTAGGGCACAAGTAAAAGCAGTTTTCTTGGAATTGGACTAAACTTGCTCTTCTCTGTTCCTTTTTTCTTCTCACCCTCTGCTACATATCTACACATCCAGTTTTTCCTGCCAGAGAGCTCCTTCTTTCTCTGGCTACTATCCCCAGCTGTCATCTTTGCCTTCCATCCCCCTTCCCCAGTTTTGCAGTTTTACATTATGATTTCCTGGTTTTACACTCTCCATTTTTAATACTAAGCCTGCCATCCCTCCTCCACCTGCAGCTTCTAAATCCCTCCCTCCAAATCCAGTGGCCACCATTCAGTTTCTTTCTTACTGTTGAACTGAACACACTGATGTTAGTAGTACTTTGTTAAAACCTATTTGAGCTCTGAACCCAGTTAAGTATTATAGTAGGTGGAGATGATGGTAGGGGAGGGGTGTGAGGTTTTTTTTCTGAAATGTAGGCTTTCCCCAAAATATTAGGTGACCTTTGTCTCAGAGATCAAACCGATGCTTCTGCTGGCCTTCCAACTTTATGCAGTGTGTGTGCTCATGTTGAGGGCACATATTTGTTTGAAAACCCTTGGTAATGAAAGGCAGGCAGTGTGCCAAGCTCTGAGCTGCCTGCCTCTTCCTGCTGCTGCTAGCTGGTTCTTTTCCTGAATTGGAGTTAATTTTGGATGGATAATGAAGTAGATGATTGCTAATATCTTTCCATTGCTAACTGTGATTTCACAGTATAGGCATATCTCGTTTTATTACATTTCACAGGTTTTGTTTTTTTGTTTGTTTGAAAGAAATTGAAGGCAAGACCTTCTATCAGCAAAAAGATTATGACTAGGTTTATTGGTGTGGTCTGGAATCCAACCCACAGTATCTCTGAGAGATGCCTATACTGTGTAGAGGGGGTTTTTTTGTTTGTTTTTTTAAACCCCTAGTGCTAGGAGGAGAAATAGCTGTTTTCTTGATCTTTAATGAGTGTTCAGCTGTCAAGGAATCCCCTACTTGGTTTGTTTATAGGCAGTAAGGTTTATTGGAAAGAACCATAGATTAGAGCTCAAGACCTGTATTCTAATCCCAGCTTCAGTCAGGATTAGCTTCCTAAGTGATCTTGGACAAGTCATGAACCTTTCCTTGCACCTGTCCTATGAACCTTGTGAAATCATGTGAACGAAATGAGATGTGATGTGTGTGAAAGCACTTTGTAAACTGTTAGGTTTTATGAAAATTGCAGGTGCTTCCCTTTATTAATTTGGCTGCTGACCACAAAACCAGAGAATGCATATAATGTCTTTTAAACTCCTTCCTATAAAGCTAGCCTTCTCAAGAACAAGGTGATGGACTCATCAGAACTACACGGGGCAATTTTGCTTTTGTTTTCTCACTTTTCCCCTCCCTCATCTCCCCTAACACACACACACACACGCACACACTCACTGTATTAGGAACTCTTTGATCCTGTGATCTTCTATCTCTGTTCTTTAATAGGTTTATATTTGTAAGGAGTCAGGGATCATGGTGTGCTGCACATTCCAATGGAGGAGAGATCCTGGCTTTTTTTTAATCCAGAAATGATTAAATTTTTTTTTTAAATTAATTTCTTTTTGTAACAGATGCTTCTCCTTTTTCCCCCATTGAGAAATGATTAAATATTAAGTGGTGACAAAAGATATCTTTAACTTTTAAATAACTACAAAAAACTTTTCACCCTAGTAAGGCACATAGACTGTAGTTGTGGAAAGTGTTAGAAGACCATGCTTTGACCTTGGACATACCTCTCACTATTAGCTTGTGACTGTGGGCAGAGTACTTAACTTTTTGAGGTCTTATTTTCCACATATTAAGGAGATTATAATGACACATATCTTATAAGGCTGTTGTGAGGATTAAATGAGATAAAGTGCTTAGCACATTGTCTAACACATAACACATACTTAGAAAATGTTATTTGTTGATACACATCTAATAATAATAAATATCTTTCAGAGTACAGATAGATGTCTGTTACTGTTTTAAAGGATTTATAATCTTGTTTTTAGATAAGTTTGTTTAAATATATATATCATAATTTACTAATTCAAAGGAAATTTAAAAAATCTGGTCCCATTTTCCTATATTCAGGTAGAAAATTAAACTAAATCAGATCATCATTTCTTCCACCTCAGGAGTCTTGCTTTGGGCTGGCTGGCAGTGTCAGGTTGAGTGACTTGCTCTGCTCTTTGTAATGTGAATTGTGTTTGGGCTGTTCCTCAGCTGCTTTTGAATTGTTTGGTGTTGAGATTTGAGATTACACAGGAATTAGATGGGTTCTTGGTGGTTCTGGGCATACTTGCAGGTTCCTTTTACATTAGGTGAGCATATAGATTGATAAACAGGCTTAAATTTAAGCCTGCTTTGAAGTGCAATTCAGAAGAAGGGAAAAAAAAATATAAAACATTCACTAACAGATTTCTAGAGCATAATCAAGTAGCTAATCACAGCATTTGA